ATCGGATGACTTAGAGTTGTGTGACAGTTTCCCTGTTGACAGTTCTGTTGGTTGATTGCTTGAGTTACTCACTTGACTCTCCTCTACATTCATTTGCTTCATATGTGACACTTTATCACTGGAATTGAGTTGTTCAGTTTGTACTTTCATTAAAGACGATGAAGAAGTTGTAGAATTTCCATTCGAATTTCTCTTTGAATTTTCTGTGTCATCGATAGTCGAAGGATTGGGTGAGAAGAAGCCAACGGAGGTGTCTTTGAACGCGATTTTTGAATGTCTTCTTCTTTTTTTTAATGATGTTGAACACTTGTGTGACTTCGAAGTTTCTTCGATTTTCAAACTTTTCCGTTTCTTCTCTTTGGAGCTCTTCTGTTTCTTTTCCGTTTGAATGCCAGCCCGCTTTTGAATGCTTTTGACTTTCTCTTTTTCCTCCAAATCGTCCTTCTCACCTTCTTTTGTGTCATTTGGTTGTTCGTTGTCTTTTGTATCATCGATAATGGTTATGTCATCGGTATAACAAATCTCCTCATCAACTTCCTTCTTTAATACTTCTTTCAATTCGCTCCACTTCTCCTCTTTGTTCCTTTGTATATTCTCCCAAATGCTTTTCGCTTTAACAACCCACTGCTTCTTCTCATCTTCAAGCTCTACACACTTCTTCCACTGCTCCACTATCCCTTTAAATATCACATTCGAGTTTTTAACACTCTTCCCAAGCTCATCCAACATCTTTGATATGAATTCATTTTCACCTTCTACACACCAAAACACTAACTCTCTCCCTTCATTTTGAATGGCCACAGTCATCCGCCGCGTTTTCTCGTTGAGCATTAAACTCTTTCGGACGGTCCGCCGCTTAAGGACGGAACTCTTGTAACTCAATTGCTCTTCGTATGATATCCGAAGCGCAGTCCGCATGTTAACAGAGTGATTGTACACGTTTTCAAGCTCGCCGCGAGACACTAAAGTATCGCAAATGATTTTAATGTACTCGCAGATAATCCCCCCTCACGCGTCGGTACCTTTGTTAACACGTCAATTGTTTTCATCTTCTCATTTTACAGAAAAACGCTTGTTAAATAGACGCGTTCGTTGTTGTACCACTCCTCCACGCTCTCAAGTCGTTGTTTGTTACTCCCGTTTTCTCCGCTATTTTGTCGATTTTTGAAAGGATCACTATTATCTGTGGAACAAGCACTTCAAAATAGTGGAACACACCGCAGTAACAATCCTTCACTTTCTCTTGTTTGATCGCAGTCAAATTTAAATTAAAATCTCGTAGCTCGCGCAGTTTCGTTGGACCATTCGACGCGTATATCGAAGACAAGATTTGATTGTTATTCTTTTTAAAACATCTCAAGGTCTTTGTGTTCTCTTCTGAGACTTTTTGTTCCTCAGAAGATACCAAAGCGCTTTTATAGATCACTTTCCTGGCAATGGCAGAATAACTTGCTTCAAGTTCAATAACAGCGTTGATGATGTCCGAGTACTCTTGCATTATGACCAGGAAGATCGGCTTAGTGTCGACGACGTTCATGAATTTCTCATATCGCGAGAGATACCCTTTCATCTCCTTTTCGACGTCCTCTTTCTTTGACAATGTAACAAAGAAAATTACATTGTCATGCTGTTTTTACTGGTGATTCTGACGAAAACGCATTGAGTGGATTCTCCATTCTTTTTCTTTCCAAAAAAAAGTTGCTTTTTGAGTCAATTTGGAGTTGTTGCTTTTAAAAAATTCAAATGGAATGCAATCTAAACTGTTTTTCAAAAGTCGGTACTGTCATATTTTTAGAACTTCCTAAAGTCCCGTTTTTTATTTTTGTTTTTTCCTAAAAAAACAAAAAACAAAAAATCGAAAGTACCGACTTTATTTTGAAAAAAATACCAATCCCGTTCAATTATTTTCGTACAAATTCGGGAAAATATCGGAATATTGGCCATCTTTTTCCAAAAAACCCGATCCCGTTATTTGATTTGACCACAACTCGATGCTTCGCAACATATACACAGCATTGTTGACCTAAAAGCACAACAATTAACGTTTAAGTAAATTGGGATGGTGTTGTTTGTGTCGAGTTTTAACTGAATATTACTCTTGTTAAAAAATATTTTCAATTAAAAACAAACTGTGGTTATCTTCTCTGAATAAAAAATAATGAAATAAAGAGTTCCAAAACCACCAAAAAATAAATTACAGCAAATGTTTGATAATTTTGACAGGCATAAGTCAAATTGTCAAAGGGCAACACTAGAAAAATAATACAAAATAACAATATTGTTTTGTTATTGGATATTTTAAAAAAGATGTTCTCACTGAAATGCTCAAAAAGAATGTCGACTTTATAAAACCCAACAAAGATAAATTATCAAATCATTTTGTTATTTTTATTGTTATTGTGACAACACTACTAAGCATACTAATCTTCGAACTAAGCTTTTGTATTGTGAATATTTCATTAATTAATAAAATGTTTGATAATAAAAAAATTTGACATTAAGTTTATTTGCTTTTGTACTAAAATGCACTTTTGGAATAATTCGTGTGTATTTCAAAAACAAAAATCCCGTTATTTCGAATTTTATATGGAATTTTTTAATGCTTAAAAATTTTTCAAGTAAAAAAATATTTTTTGAAGACCGTTTTTCTCTTTTTTACTTGAAAAAAATAAGCGAATTTATTACAAAAAAACGATTCCCAAAAATAATAAACAAAATAAATGCAAAAAATCGGGATACCTCAGTACCGACTTTTGAAAACCAGTTTATTTAAAAGTCAAAATTTGTTGTTATAAATTAATTGTTTCAAAATGCTACATTTAAGTTTTTTATTGTCGAATTGTGTTGTATTTATTAAATAATAAATCAAATGATTAATTTGATATCTTTCAAATTTGCTTTCTTTTATATCTGCCAAACATTATTTTCAATTAAAAAATCAAACATCAAGTGGTCACAATTGACTGTTTATAAAGTAATACAACCATAACAACAAAACTGTGTTATGTATCCGAAACGTCATTTTATTAACGGGAATATTAAAAAATTCAACCATTGTTTGGTTTTACAAGTATTTTTAATTATTTTTTGTTTTAATTAATGTTTTAGAAATGATACAAAATATTTTTTATTTATAACAATAATTATTATATATTACTATAATTTGCTAAAGCCGACTTTTCCCACCAACTCTTTATTATTTTGGTTGTAATTTTTGTTCTGTTTTGCTTTTAAATTTTTATATAAAAAAATAATAGCACAAAACGATTTTTTGGTATAAAAATAAGAATAATTCCATTATGATAATTTTATATTATTTGTTTTTATCTATTTTTTCAGGAAAATCACCTAATAATATTTCAAAATTATTTAAACCGTTTTGGGACAATTTTTTTTAAAAAACTGTTAAAAAGAGCAGTATTGGGTTGTCGGCGAATTAAATAACTTTGTTTATAGTTATTTTTTAATTATTATTTAGTTTTTTATATTCAAATGTTTTTTAATTTACGTGAATAAAAATATGGTTTGTTTATTTAAAAAATATAGTTGCTATAAGCCTCTTTCAAATTGTCTTTGTTCCTAAATAAATAAAATCACTTTTAGCGAATGTCGAGCAAAATAACACGTTCACTTCCCAAAAACATAGCAATTCTCGCTGATTTTTTCATTGATATAAACAACAAAAAAGTCGATGTTACTTCGCCTTACGATGATCGAGGCGCAAAATTTACCCGCAGCAGACTGCTTTTCAAAGAAGAGTGACCCTTATACAAAGGTGACAATCAACAAGGAAATCCACCAAACCAAAATTCAAAAAAACATTAGACCCCAAATGGCATGAAGAACTCCGGTTCATGATCGATCCACACAATCTACCATCTTTCCTCTTCGAGATCTACGACTGGGATAGATTCAAAACCGACGACTTTCTCGGTCACGCATCGTTGGCACTCAAACAACCAATCAAGGGTGATCTGTGGTTAAATTTATCGGTTCAAGGTAAGCTCCACATAAACCTTGACACACTCAAAACACCCATTCAGTGTTTGTACACCCAATTCACGCCAGGATTGGATGGTATAGCACTCAAAGCACTTTCTCAAAAACCAAACCTGACAGAATCGCAAGAATTCAAGCCGTCATCTTTTATGACTAATTTTAACATCGAAAAGTTCGAAAAGTCTGAGATCTCGCGGCATGTTCAGACACCATTTTCCCAAGAAACGTAAACGAGACGTGTTTCTATTACGCCAAGTTGTGTGGCTACTTTGTCCCATACCGTCCCGGTGCTTTTCCGTCAGTCCCAGAATGAACCTCTGTGTTATTTATTGTATTTTTTTATTCACCAAATTGATTTTCATTCAAATCAATCTAATTGATAAAATTAGAGTCAGTCAGTAAACAATATTATAGATAGAGTACTTGATACAACGTTGTTATTTAGAGTCAATCTAATACTGTTGTCTTTTTCAAACGATTCTTTCTTAGTCTTATATTTTTGAATTTACAAAATATTTTTGCAAAAAGTTCAATCATAAACAAAATCGTTCTTTGTTTACCATTTATTTATTAATTTTAGAGTAAATAGGAAAAAAATCTATTTTTCTTAAATAATTTTATTAATTATTTCAATTAAAAAAAATTTCTTAATGATTAATTTTTTAATCTGACTTGAGACGCCGTGCAACTCCATGTATTCACTTGTGTTGATTCTGACGTCGTTGTTCTCGTCGTAAAACAGCTTATCTGCAAGTTCATTTGCAAGCTTCAACACCACTTGGCCCAAGGAACATGAATGACCCAATTGATTGTTTGTCTGAGCAAAGACAACTTCTGCTTCTCAAAATATTTCCAACAACTCTCTTGTACAGCTCGTCCCCAAGTTTCAGGAGTCTTGTCTTCTCGCTCTGTGTCATTCTGTTCACTAAGATGCCTGCCCGTTTGATCTACATTTTCTAATAACTGTAGGCCATTAGTAACAACGTTGATGTCTCTTATGTTTGGTTTTTCAATTCTGCGCAACCTCAAGATCTCTTGTTGTCTTGTTCAGCTTTCTCTGCCATCTTCTCTTGTGTCAATTGCGTGTCTTTACTTTCCAAGTTTTTGATTTCCTCTGGTTGTGAGTTCTCTTGCGTTAAGAGTGTTGCAGACGCCACCAAATTGATTGCATTTTTGCGCGAGTGTAGCATTGATGTATCTCTTTGACAGTGACGCAACTGAACAAAAGCATGTCCGCGACTGTCAGTCCATAGGGGCTTGCTCCTTATGCACTGGCGTACAAAACAGTGTGGTTTTTTCTATGAACAGAATAATTTAGATCTTCGACTCTTTCACCTTTTTTAAAAAAAACAGCATTAAGTCGCTTTAGAAACAGTTTTTTGTACTGTCCATTAGCAATCAGTGCACCCATATCAAGTGCAATGACTCTGCAAGTTCGAAGAAAAAATATTTTACTTCTGGCTGCCAAAACATTCCACATAAGTTGTTTTACTAAAACCAAGTTCAACAATCGATGGTAAAAAAACTATTTTTATTCGTTAATAAAACAATATGTTGTGGTTTTGTTTGAATTTTTTATTTATTTATTGAATAGTATTTTTTAATTAAATACTCCAAATAAAGAATAACAATTATTACGATATTTTTTAGTTTCAAATACAATTATTATCATTTTTGGTGACGTATTTTTAATTGTTTTTAGCACTACAATAATATATAAATATATTTAATTAATAAATTATTATTAAGGTTAAAGTTTTTCACAATATGGTCTCATCGCTTGTAACAATGAATTATACATTAATCTATAATTTATTAAAAATGTATACAAAAAACGAATTTAAAATTATTTAAAAACCGAAAAACTGAGAATATCAAAATGCGTAGACTTTCTGGTTATCACATCATGATAGTTTCGAAGTACCTCAAGACTATTAACGACTTTATTAACTTGGAGTTGGTATGCAAAAAGTTTTGTGGTAATATGGAGAAGTTCCACTTCAACCCGATTCCATTAAATTTCAAAACACTTGGATACTTGCCAAACATCGAGACACTTCACTTGTGGGATGTAACGGATGAGAATTTTGGGAATGGATTTATGATAAACAAAAGAAAAAATAGAGAAGGTAAAAATAAAGGTGTTTTAAAAAGAGAATTCTTTCGAATCATCGTGTGGTTCAATGTTGACTTTGAAACTGTTGACAGAAACAAAAGTCGAAACATCAAGTTTAAAAATGTTACTTACACTCAAAAAAATAGAGAGAAATTTGGTAATAACATACCATCAAGTGTGACATTGATTGGTGAAGGTTGTTTCAATGGATGCAGTAGTTTGAGCAGTGTTACAATACCATCAAGTGTAACATCGATTGGTGATAGTTGTTTCCAAGGATGTTGTTGTTTAAGCAGTATTACAATACCATCAAGTGTAAAATCAATTGGTGGTGGTTGTTTCTATGAGTGTAGTAGTTTGAGCAGTATTACAATACCATCGAGTGTGACATCAATTGGTGCTGGTTGTTTCGGTTGGTGCAGTAGTTTAAGTAGTATTAACATACCATCAAGTATTATATCAATTGGTAATTGGTGTTTCAATAGATGCAGTAGTTTGACAAGTGTTACAATCCCATCAAGTGTGACATCTATTGGTAATTTTTGTTTCTATGAGTGCAGCAGTTTGATCAGTGTTAACATACCATCGAGTGTGACATCAATTGGTAATTTTTGTTTCAGTGAATGCAGTAGTTTGAGTAGTGTTACAATCCCATCAAGTGTGAGGTCTATTGGTCGTAGTTGTTTCCCATTAAATACAGTAGTTAATCGAAATTAATTTATTTGTTAGTTAATGTTTATTATTGTTTTTAAAACAATTTAATTAAATTATAAATTGTTATAATTATTATTTAATAAAAATAAAAAATAATTGAAAAAGTCAATTATTTCACGAAATTGATTTAATCAATTTAATCAATTTCGTTAAAACTCAAAGTATACAAAGAGGCTCCTAAAGCCGGCCCCCCTCCCCCACCCACCTCCTGGGAACAGAGATTACTTAAATGTAAGATTGTGTAAAATGGTGAGTATATAGCACGTCATCGAATAATACTAATAATAATATCAAATATAATAGAATTAAGTGATATTAAAGAAAAAATAGTAGTTATTAATTAATAAAGTAAATATTTGTAAATGTAGAAATTTATTCAAATTTTTTAAGTAAGAAAATTTAATACCTTTATTTCATACAGCCATAAGAGGGACCCCTTAATGTTCTATAAATAGAACAATTTAATATATTTATCAAATATAATAAATAATTGAAATATAAAATAATTAAATAATTAAATAATTTGAAAGAATTTTTTTATTAGTAATATTTTAATAAATAATTAGTTCTATTAAGTTTATAATTATAGATATACTTAATTTATAGTAATTACTCATTTAAAAAAATAATAAATTATAAGTAATAATTAATCAATAATATTAATTAAATAAATTTTATATGAAAAATTATTTAGAAATAGGAGTGAAAGAAAAAAAACCTTCATTTCATACAGCCATGACAAGGACCCCTTAATGTTCTATAAATAGAACATCGTTCATTAATACATTGCAATTATGATAAAGAATAAAATATATTATAAAGAATAGATAAAAATTGTTAATGTTTCTAGTTACAAATTGAAAATAATCAAAAAGATGAGTAAATTATCATGAAAA